GATATCGCTACTATGGAAGAAATGTGGTTTAAGACTTAAAGAGAGAAAAAATAGAGTAAGAAAAGGCAGCAATATTAATTACAATTAATACAAAATTGTATAAATATGCTTCTGTGGGTATGGGTGAGAAAAGAGTTTGTTAAAAAATGTACTCCTACCTGGACATAAAATAAAAGCACTAAAAAGTATAGAATAAAGTCCCGATGTTATTTGATCAAACTTCACACTTGGATAGCAAACTACTCATTTGTCTTCTCACCTTCAATGTCATGATATATTCTATGTCTGTTATCTTCTTGAAAGGTAATGTCCTTATTTAAAGTGGTTGGATACACGTATATCCTTACCAGTTAAAATTTAACATCTCTGCAAATATCCAAATGCAGAGACTACAGTAAAGCTAGGACCACAGATAATTTTTCTTTGACATTTTGTAGCCAAATATCAGTATGAAACTATATTTACAAGTATTTAATTTTAAGAAATAAAATTTTAAATTTTTTTTCTGTAAAATTAGGTCCATCAGGCAGATAAGGAACTGCAGAATTAAAAATACTATAGGCAATGCTCCTTTATTTTGTAACATTACAGAAAAGCAATTTAAAACCCCATTCCAGTCTTCAAGTATAAATAATTGGAACTGTACAGATTGAGCACCTAATTAGGCATAATAGGGTTTTGTGCTGCATAGCTTTGTGAAGGCAATCAAAAGCAAAATGCCTGCCATTGCAAACTAGACAATTAATTTTTTAGATCTCATTTAGTTTAGAAAGAATACTGCTTGCTTTTATAAATTCCTAGGTCAAAATGCTTAGAAGAATTATTTTCCAGGTACTTTTTTGTTCAGGAAAACATTAAGGTTTCTCTGCACTGTACTTACTGCACTTAACTACTCAAGATATCGCTGAAAATATATCTCCTCTTAAGAAAATAAGTTGCTTCCTTTCTTAAAATGGATGTTCATAGATGGATCAGCTCTGCAACTGTATGAGAACTAGGAAAGCCAAACTATTCAGTGTCAGTTAAATGAAAGTAATCCATCAAAAGATGGGTAGAACAAATTACTCCCTCAGTGCCAGAATTATTATTTCCTACAAATTAAAAAAGTAAGACTTGATTCTTCCAATTTTCTGTTTCTTTGTTCAGATAAATAACTTTTGTTATTTAATGTAATTCTCTTACAGTAAAATACTCCCTTTCTGAATGTTTTATTACTTTTGTCAGAAAACAACAAAGCACTAGTATCATGTGAAAAATTAAATCCAAGAGGATTTTTTCTTTTCTTGTGGCTTAAATTGGTTTAGCCAAATTGTTGAAGACGACATACAGGAGGAAAATGTATGAGGGCATTCTGTCCTTTCTCTTCTCTTAGCAAAGTCTCCTGAAAGAGCCAACAGCATTATTCTTCTGTGCAATTTGCTTAATGACAAATAAGAGTTCAAGTGTCAGCTGGAAATAGTTATTTTCTCATTTAAAAACAGGAAAATCCCATTCCTGTAGATATTTTTCAATATCTACATTCTGAGTGTAAATATAGGTGGATGTATATTATTTTGTGGACAGAGATGACAGAAAACAAAATTATGTACTCTGACATCAGTATACTAGGTTATACAATGAGCATGAAAACCTGTCTCATGAAGTTGAAATGAACTCTGATCTTCTAACACACTGTTCAGTATCTTGACTACAAAAAGATGAAAAATCTTATCTCAAGAGACCAAGCAGAAATTGGCTGCACCATTTAAAAAAAATAAAAGGTATATAGAGTTCAGTACCTTTGCTCTTTAAGGAGGAGGAATTCTACAGTGTGGTAATAGTATTGGAACCCTGACATTTCAACACAGACTACTTACAATGAATTTAATTTTTTTCTTCTATTAAAACAAATGACCCGAAACATTCAGCAAGGAGAATAGTCTTACTTCATCAGTTTTACTGGAAAATATTTTGCCTTGTGATCTTGGGGAATGTGTCCCTTAAGATTTTGATTGTGCTGCTGCCATCAGCTGTTATCATGGAGTGTTCAGTAATTTCAGTCAGAGAAGAGGTGCACTGCAATCCATCCTGCATAAGGAGGCTACAAGGAATACCTTTGGGAATACCTTTTAGTCCATATGTGTGATATAAAAATCACAGACATTCTGTCATCTAAGCTTAGAATGAATCCAAATGCTTGAATTCAATGCTTGAATATTGAATTTTTCATATAAGACACAGTCCCTCTAATATAAAATATGTATTTATATACTTACTTGGGCAAGATGATTACTTTATCATTACTACTCATTAGAATATTTTGAAACATTTGATTCAAGCACTGCCTAATGGGGAAAGTAAATACTTCTGTGTAGCTTAGAACACTGCCAGCCTGGCTTCTTAGAAAATATAAGAATCAAATGTGGGGTTTCATATATAGGTTGGTCTAAACACAGGCAACAGAGATGCAACCCAGCAGATGCAACTGATTGTGCAGCAGCTTCCACAAAAGGACACCAGAAACTACTGAGGGAGGTATATTGGTTTCTGCAATGGGTAAAAAATCAGTAGGATCTGTGCATCTCACAGGGTTTTATCTGCATTGTATAAACTCAGAAAAGCCATGATGAGAAGAACAGAGAAGCCATTGAAGACTATTTTCTGTATAAAGTGCAGTCACTCAATGTTACTTTTCTCTCTTTGCAAAAGAAATGCAAAGAGAAAGTAACATTACATTAATGCAATGAACTTATCTTTTTTCATTGTCATTAAAAAAAAATAAAGCTCCATGAAAATGCAGGAAGAATGGTATTTTGATTAAGAGGAAATCAAATTTCCTACAAAAAGTGAATTAAATAATTGCAATGGCTTAATTTCCAGCAGGAAATAGATGAGAATAAAACTCAAATATGAAGGACTTGAAATAAAAAAAATTAAATACTGAATGAGATAAAAAGAGTAATTGAGGAAAACACTTTCTATCCTAGTGAAAGTGCAAATAAGTTATCTCAGGAAACAAAAGCTGGAAATTTCAAAACTGAAGAGATGTGATTTTTATGTGCATCATAGATTCCTTGTGAAATTCACTTCATAATAATATAACACTGCTTATGTGTGAAAGTGAGAGGGTTTGTGTTTTTGTCCAGACACCAATTATGTGTACATGTATGTGTATAAAAACATTTACCCCTCTGAACTTCCTTTGAATATGATTCATTTTTTATGCCAAAAAGAACTTGATTTTCTATTTAACTTTGCATTTAATGAAGAGTACATAGATGAAAAAGCTAAGGGAAACCATGTTTTTTAAAGCAAGCCATAGTAAATATTTTTTTTTACAATGTAAACCTCATTGTTCAGGATTTAAAAATATTTAAAATATTAGATACTAGAGTAAATAAAAATCATGTCCAAACTACATATTTTAGCATATAATCCCATAATTTTTATGCGACCACTGACACATCTTCCCACATACTGGTTATGTTCTGAGATTAAATATTGAGCTATATGAATCATTACTTCAGATTAATATCCACTTTAATATTCTGGAGAAATTATAACTGGAGCATGTGATTGAAAAGAAAGAATTTCTAGGCAAGGCAATGAAAACAATTGGAGAATGAGTTCTATAGATAAAGAAAAGGTTTAGCTTTCATTTGGAGGAACACTTTTCTAAGGGTTAGTAGGCTTTTTTAAATTATTTTCTTTTTTAAGTTAAAAAATATTGACAAACAAAAATCAATATCCAAAGTGCAGGAACATTTTCTGTGAACACTGACATGAAACATATTCACATTGATAAATATAGTTTTAAAGTAAAATAAGCTTTTAATGAATTAACTTTCTGAAATAAGACAAAACATTCCTACATAGAAAGTGGAGACTTCACATGGTTGAAAATTAAAGATAGACTTTCCTGCAAGACAAAAAACAAAGCCATTCTCTGCAACTTTAATGATTTCTTGTTTTCTGACTTTTTGATGAGTTCAAATTGTGTGAAATGGAGTGAGGATAAAAAAGACATTGACTTAGAAACAAGACTGGATTTAGCCTGAGATTTTTCAGAGCAATGTTCATTTGGGATCATGGATTCATAGAATGGAATTACTGAGTCCACTGTCTTGTAACAAATGGTGCTTAGCTATAACTTATCTTCTAGAGCCTTCGAAGCTTAACTGAAGAGACCGTGAGATAGAGAATTCATCAATTCCTTTGACTGGGTGATTCAAACTGTTCACAGTTAAAAAATTGTTTCTTATTGATTTATGTTCAACTTCAGTTTTCACACGTTACATTTTTTTTTTTCAGTAGATAAAAGAATACTCATATGTTTGATAAATTATTATAATATATCCAACATTATTTTTCTGTGAAGGTGTGTGGCTATTTATTTTTCTTTTTTGATAGAATGAAACTGAGGAAGCAGCTTAAATTTCTCAGTCTAATTACTTGCTCAAGCCTTCAAATGTCTTTTTTGATTCTGTGCCAGTCCATCAATCTTCCTGCTACTGAAGAATTGTTCATTTTCTTCTATGTGATTGACAAAAATGGTGCAAAAACAGACTTCAACTCCTCTAGAAGCAATTCCATTCAGTGAAATCCCCCTTAGGTTGACAATAATCAGAGATCTACCAGGTATCCAATCCCTACTTTATTGTGTGCTTTACTGCTATTCTAAAGAGCTAATTCATGATCAGAATGTTATGAGAAACCAAAGGGAATAGAGAAAGCTAAGAGGATCATATCATTGACAGGTTATTCTCTGAAGCAAACACTCCTCTCAAGAAATGAAATTAGGTTTGTTTGACAAGACCTGTTTTTCATAGAGCCATGTGGAGTGGCATTAATTTTATTCCTGTCTGTTGATTCTTAATTAATCAAATCTCAAATTGGTATTTCCATTTTCATTTTTAATATAAAAGTTCATTTGTTGGTTGTGTTTTGGAAAACATTTTTATTATTTACTACTGACAGAGGAAACACACTTTTACCTTCTCTCACTTTCTCCTTCATTTTAGGAGTTACAGTGCTTGAAGGGCCTATTTATGCGGTGGGAGGACATGATGGTTGGAGTTATTTGAACACAGTTGAGAGGTGGGACCCTCAAAGTCAGCAGTGGACATTTGTGGCAAGTATGTCAATTGCCAGAAGCACTGTTGGAGTAGCAGCATTAAATGGCAAGTGAGTAGGGTGTGCTTACACAATTGAAACACTTCTTTTGAAAACCAATGAAGCTTAATTGTCATTGCTTTTCCTCATTAAGTTGCGGTGGCATTGAATTGTTCCAAAGAAGATCAAATGGTCAAAGTTGCTTTAATAGCCCTCTTACTCTGAAAGAAACTGGTTTCAGTGGTGCACAAGCCATGCAGCAGACTAGCAGAAGCAACATCCAGAGAGAAAACCCTGGAACAATTGATCTAAAGTCATGAAGAGCAGCATATGATTATGCATATATATTCCAGCTTTGTTTCTCTTGCACAGCTGACCATATATTTAATGCTTCCCAGTTAAAAGGTACTCAATTGAATTTCTCATGACTTATATAAAACACTTTTAAATTAAAAAAGATGTTATTTGTGTCCAAACAAGGTAGGATGGACACCAGTGAAAACTGAAAAGTAGTGGTCTCCCTGCAACAAGTAGAAATATGCCATTGATTTTTATTCTTTTTATCTGAGTACCCATCTTTAAAAAATATCCAATATGCCAAGAACTGCAACTTGAAAACCTGTTTAAGAACCTTTCAAATTCCCAGTGCTATTCTTGCTACATTGCCTTTCCATACAACTGACATGTGCTGCATTCCTTAGGATAGTGGAAATGGATATCTCATTGAGAAACACAATGTTGGGTTTAACATTCAGCAAAAGAAAAAAGTTTTTCCATTTTAATATGGAAGTTTTGAGGAGTTTTTTTTTTTGGTTATTCATTATGTTTTCTTTCTTCAGCAGTGAATTAAATAGGAAATAAATGAAATGCATTAGATGCTTGTTGAAGTGAGAGTGCTACAAACTATTCTGCATGTGTATCTCTCACACTGCTTTGGGCACTTTACATAAAATGGATACTGGATGCTAAATATTTCAAATGGGAGTTTCTTAAAAGACTTGAAAAAGTATAGCCCCTTCTTGTGTTCTCACACTAAAACACAAAAGATTGTGTTTTAATGTGAGAAACTATTCCATTTGTGATTTTCCATCACCCTATAGTTGGCTGAATTTGTTTTCCATTTAAATTAATCTTAAGCAGAAAAATGAAAGTTGTATTTTTCTATTGGCTTATGATGGAAATAAATAAAAAACTTCAAGCTTTCATATTCTGATCTCATCAGGCTCTGAGTGAGGAGATTGATTTGTAAGTAACCTCTTATTAGTTCCTGATGTATTGAAGTGTTTCAGATGCTCACTTATGTAGACCATGCAAGTAAATTATCAATTATTTTGCTGCTCTAACAAATTGAAAGCAATACTATCTAAATTCAGCAAAACAGGATGCACAGAAATGAATGCTTTTTCACTGAAATACATTTTTAAATTTAAACTGAAATTGTTATATCAACATCTTTCCTAAAATAGGAAAAGGATTGTGTCAACATGTACATCATAAACTAATTTGAAATATATTTAACTATTGAAGCAATAAAATCCTACTGAATTTCTCAGCAATTTAGAGATAAATATCTGAAGTTTGGGATTTTTTTAAATTTTAAACTTAGCCCATTTGCCAGGGCTCTTTTCTATACTCATGTTGCCTTATTACATTTAGAAGTTGCAGTGCTATTTCACCAAGGAGGGCTTAATGGAGTATCTTCCCCTCCCCACACAAAGGTCACCTGGTTTATACCTCCAGATTTCCCAGAGTAATAGGATGTAATAGTTACTATTCTTCAGTGAGGAACACAGGCAACATTCATTTTCTTAAATGTCTTAGTTGTAAGGAGAGCTAGAACAACTAATAAAAGATAAAGGTGTTTTTTGAGATAAAAGAAAGACACATGACAAATTTACTTACCAGAATTTCAACAGAGCAATTTATCTGGCGCTACATATGAAATAAATACTTAAGATGAAAAAAAGGTGAGTAGTAGAGGGATTTGAAGAAGAAAAGGACTCTATTCAATAACTAGGATGTCACAGTAATCCCTGGAATTCTTTACAGATCTGTCCTGGGTTAAAAGAGTATAACAGCAGGAGCAAGCTAGTTACATTACTAAACCAAGTGGCACCAAAGGGAATAATATCATATGGTTCACGTTGGCCACATGAATACACGATGGCCAAATGGCCAAATTCATGTTGGCCACGCTAATTTGGATGATCTTAAGAAGCAACACAAATAGTATATGTAGTAGTTTATGTGTGAATTAACAAGTCTTGTGTTTGAAGAAAATTAATGTTAAGAAGTAAAAGAAGAGGTGAAAGAAGCTTTGTATGTTGTTAGCACAGAAAAAGAACAGAAGAAGAAATCTGGGGAATAAAAGGAAATGCTACTGAAGAATGTATAAAGTTTTATTAATATTGGATATATGTTGTGTTAGTGTGTGGAATTCTGGTCATCCATATCAACGGCAGTTCAAGTGAAATTGCAAAGGCTATATAATGTATACCATGACTATCAAGAATGCATGCCATACAAAAGAAAAGCAGCAGAACTGATACAGCTGGCAAAGAAACATGCACAAAATAGCTGCAATTCAGCTGGGAAAATAGAGATGAAATAAAAGTAATATGGAGACAATAAGATCGTGTCCACAAACCTCTCATCAGGTTCTAAACACCTGTTCATTGGTTCATAAAAAGCGTAATGTTATGTGGCTTTATCTAACAACAAAGACTAGAATCTGAGAATTTTCCTTTTCAGTGATATTTTTGCTTTCCCAAGTCAACAATAGGTTCCAGGAGCCATAACAATGTTTGCTGAGGCTTTGGAGACTCCATCTCTTACATCTTCACTTGTTTCCCATAGTCAAACAGTAACACAAGAGTGGAGTGTGTTATCCTTCCTATATATAAAAATTACTTTTAACTGGATGTCTTTATCAGTTTTTAACATATTTTGTTAAATATAGGTGTTGTAGGACTTGCCATGACTGTAGAATTTCCTGGGATGAAATATGGTCAGTAATTCCTTCTGATATGGAAACAGCATCCTCCCTTCTGCCTTGTTACTGTTAACAACCCTGTTGCAGATGCTGGAAGAGAAAGAGGGCATGAACTTCCTCAGATCAGCAATAGATATGGCTGTTAAAATACTAAATGTGGGATGGAGATCTACACTTTGAAAAAAAACTGGTAGAGGATGGTGCTTTTTGTATGCAGGCAGTGAGTTAAAAGCTGGGATGACTTATTTGAATCTTCTTTGGGGCTCACATAAGTGGTGTGTAAGTAGTGTACAACTTATTCTATATAAGATCAGCATTCTACAGTTGTCAGCAGATAGTGCTGAAGCAAAAGAACTTCTCTTCAGTATGGGTTAGAAGCACCAAGGAACAAAAAGTGTGAAAAGGTATATATTTGCCAGAAACTTTTTGAAATTATCACTTAACTATTTCAAGGTTTTATTAATTTCTTGATTTTAAACTCAAGAAGAACAAAAATCCAGTCAACACCTTCAAGCCAACAAATACTAATCCTTTCATTAACTTAAAATGTAAATGCTTCCAAATGTATAGCTAATACCATAGCTATTTATTATCCTACTATTAGAAATTCTCATACATGAACTGCTCATTCCCTAAGAACACTAAACCTTTCCACTACTTTAATTTCAGAATATATTTTATGCTAATGGTGTAGTGCTAAGTGAAAATGAAATTTAGTTTACACACTTTCATCAGGAATACGTACTCCTCAAAGACATTCTCTGTATCATACAGATTTACGTTATTCTAAACATTTTTATATCACTACCATAACTGAAGTTTTTCTATATTGCTCTATTATATGTCCACAAAGACTGCATTACAAAAAATATTCCTTAGCTTCTACTGGTATATTCAAATTTATCAACATGTTTTGAAACAACTGTACCTTTCTGCCATGAAAGTCTGGCCCTTTAGTCTTGATCCCTTTAGTGAATATCAGTAAATCTGTGTTACAAAAGCATAAAATGCTCAGCTGTTGATAAGATCCACAGGCTGACTTTGAATGGTAGAACATCACAGCAGTGCCAAAAATCATGACTTTGACACACACTGGCAAGCCGCTCAAAGTCATGTTAACACCTTGTGGAGTCAAGGAAAAGGAGTCCTGCCCTTTATTGATTGCCACATCCTCAAATATGTTCTATAGCGAACTTGATATCTCCCCCTGCTGCTGTGGTTCTTATTCAATACCACAGAACACCGTTGGTATATAATTGATGACAAAAAGCAAGGAATTGTTTAATCTTAACTTTTAAAAATACAACTGTGCAAGTATTCTTTTAAATAATATTTTATTTTTATTTGAGGAAAAGAAAACTTTTTTAGGTGTTTGTTGTCTCTGAAGGAAAGTAAAGGAGCAAGGAGAAATGCTGCAAGAAAATACTATTCCCCAGCAATATCCATCTGACTGCTTACCATTTGGTGTCACAGGCAAAATAGGCTTGACTTGGGGAAAATTAATGCAATTCATTAGTAATAAAAATAGATTCTGGCTTGTGAGAAGCAACCCCAAATTTTAAATTGCCACCTTTCTTCCCCTCCCTTTCCCAGGCTCAGTTTATGTCTTGCGTAGCATTGTAGCCCCACCCCTGACTGGTGCAGGGGGATGGAAATGGGGGTTGTGGTCAGACCATAATTCTCAGACCCTTCTCTCTGCCCTCCTTCCTCACACATTTCCCTTGCTCCACCATGGGCTCTCCATGGGCTGCAGTCCTTTGGGAGATAACCTCCTACTCCAGTGTGGTGTCCTCCACTGTGCCTGCGACTGGTGATCATCTTCAGCAGGAAAATGCAATGCCAAGACTACAGGCAAGATGCATAAGCTGACCCAGAGATATTTTCCTTTACAGGAACAAACCCCTGAGCATAGATCCTCTTAATCAAATCCAACAGGTTTAAAATTTGAGTTATTTGGCAAGCCTCATCTCTCTCAATCAATTATGTTGGAAAAAAGTCCTTTTTCCTGTTTGCCTGAGACACTGATTTTTTTTCATATTATTGTTGAAAGACAGTCCAACATAAACGACACAACCAGAAA